TTCTACATGCACAAGACTAAAAGTAGCACAAAATTACATGTAAATGTTCAAAATTAGCTTCGGAAATCTTTAAAATACATACAGTACCACTCAGCTATAAGTTTTCGTTTACAAGAGTAATCTCCAGCATTACCTGCGTTCCACACTGGTGCAATAACTACACGAGTGCACCACAACACGAGATAAGTACATGATGTAAATGATAAATACACGATACAGGTGCACCTTCACTAGTGCAGCTTGGATACATAGCCAAGCTGCACCCGTGTGTCGTGTACAGAATAAGTAAACTTATAGCTGAGCGGTACTGTAAATGTAATTGAGCAATGTAATCAAAATCAGCTGAATACATACATGTACATGTAAATTAATCAAATTTTAACTCATTTCTTCAAAATTCAAAAATTTGGAAATCATATGGAAATGTAATCAAGCAACTTGGGAATAAAATCAGCTCAAACTAAATTGCACAATACATAAATGAATCAATAAATGTAATATAGTTACACTCACTCCTTCAAAGGTAGTGCTGATAGTTTAGTGAGAGGGTTAAAGAGAACAGTGATATTCAATGGAAGGAGGTCCTTGAGGTTCCCTAAGAGTGGGGACAGCTTCTGAGAGGAAGGAGAGAGAGGATCTAATATCAGGAGAATATGAATAACAGGACCAGAGGAGAGAGGAGGAACAGAAAGAACACTAGAAGAGGGAGAAAGAAAAAATATAATAAATTTTGGTTAATTGCTAAAGTTTTCAAGTAGTGATTGGTGGGTTTAAATTAGATCCATGTGCCATTGAGCATGCGCATAATGGTACTAAATGGCAGATTTTAATTGCAAAAGGCAAATTCGTCAATTTTTCTTCAAAATTAACGAATTTAACGTTTCCTCCAATGCAGCCAGGGCATCTATTTCTTAAATGGCATGAAACTTAGGCCAACAGAGACATACAAACCCATGATACAGTGTATACAGTATACAGTGTACCTGTGCTCTTTCTTAAAACCATCCAGTTCTAATCGTCTTGCTTTAGTCTGACTCCGTAACAATGAGGCTAATCTCATGACCAGATCACTACGATATTCGGTGGTATCAGAATCAGGATCAGGGAGAATCAAATCAACTGAATCAATAGCGTTTGATACAGTCTGAGCGTGGGAACTGATCTCAAAATTATAAAGAGCTTCCAAGTCATCAAAAATGAATGACTCCTTAGGGCCCAAAGGACCAATCAACTAAAAATATAAATAAAAATAAACAAATAATTAAACACACATGTAACTACATTACGCTTAAAAATAAAAAATAAAAATAAAATGTACTGTCAGTTTTAACTTATAGGGAATTAGGATATCAAACATTGTAAATCTTCCTTGATTTGAAGTACCATAATTAATGGTGC